CCCTCCCCCGGCTCTTACGGATGTCGTCGTGTCGGCCACATTACGTATAAATCTAATAGATGCATTAGCTAGCCTAATGAGTACAGGAATGTTTTCCAGTACATTCCAGTACGTTCCATACGTTCCAGTACATTCCAGTACATCCCAGTACATTCCAGTACATTCCAGTACATTCCAGTACATTCCAGTACATTCCAGTACATTCCAATACTTCCAGTACATTCCAGTACATTCCAGTACATTCCAGTACAGAGTACAGAGATGAACAGCGCCTGTGGGTGCTGTAACCGGATGCTGGGGCCCTACCCTTTCACGGTGGTGGTACTCGGCTACTCACCACTTGCAGAAGCGGAGGAGGAGGAGGAGACCGGAACGGGTAGAGCGCCCACCCGCCCACTGCTCAAGTCAGCCCATAGTTAACACCCTTGCCAAACTAGTGGTACTATTTCCCCCCCTTTCGTCCATCCCCCGGTCGGGGACACTTAAGCACATGAGTCATCCCCCCACCAGCACAGCAGACACATACATACACACACAGCGCACACAGCACACGCGCATGCGCGCACCTCAGCCCCATGCAGAGTGGCATCCACTTCGCCTGCTGCTCGGGACTGCCCTGGGAGAGAATTGAAGGAATGAACATCTGGCGGGAAGAGGAAAGGGAGGGGGGGGTCAGCGGGGAGAAGGGAGGCATGGCAAAACACACGTGCATCCGTTTTTGAACATGGCTCGTGATGCATGTCGGAATGCAACGGGTGTCCTTCCCCCTTAACAAATGCATTGGTGCCTGTGCCTGTGCGTGTGTGTGTGTATGTTTGTGTGCGTGTTACACCTCGGTTGCGTTACCCAGATGGAGAGGTGTGTAACGAGTGCCAATACACGAGCCAGCAGAGGCCCAAGAGCCTAAGAGCCACAAGGCAGTGCCGATCCCCAAGGTCCGCGTGGTTGGACTTTCCTCTTTTTCCCCCTCCCTCCATGCAAAGGACGTCGACACATATACACACGCAGATAAATACACACGCTAGGGAGCCGGAGCCCCACTGTCGATTTGCAATTCTGGTAAACGCACGTCCGATGTTGGATGCCGTACACCGTACATTGTATGTCGTACTTCGCACCCACCCCAATGTGCAACTCCAGGCCGCCCGGGAAGTCCACCAGCGTGCGCATCAGAGCCCCATCATCTAGACCAAGGCCCTCAGTCTTCATCTTCTCCCTTTGGTGGCGTGTGTGAAGTGTGTGTGTGTGTAAGAGGGGGGAAAGGTGGGGGTCGGGTTAAAAGAGACCCAAATGAATGTATACAGAGTTCAAGGAGGAGAGGCGGAGGGGGGAAATGCAGAGCATACTTCGGGTCGAAAATTGCGAACTGGGTATCGCAATTCAATATCAGCAGGCCGGGCCAGCGAAGGCCGGCCCCCAGGTTTGCCAAGGGCGTGCTTTCCCATACAAATAGATAGAGTTAACATGCGTCAGGGCCATTCTTTATGCAATTCTGGTATGCTGGGTGATCGGGAGCGCAGGTGCAGCTTACCAGATGCCAAGTGCGGCTCGTAGGCCTCCCACGTACTCCTCCTCGCGGCCCAGAAAGTATCGCCTGCTCTTGTCGCCCCAAGGTGTCTTTGACAGGATTTCGGCAAATCGTTGCCTGACCAAATCCCAAAGCACGTCAGAGCATAGCATGACCAGTCAAATGCGATGGTGAAAAAAGCTTGAACTCACTTCTTCTCCAGAAGCTCCTTGCCACCATTTAAGACATAAGCGAGCTCTTGGACGTTGAAAGTCGCCTTGCGACGCTCCTCTTCAAGGTCTTTGGATGGCTCTGTATGCGTCCGCAAAATGATGTTGGTGGCTGGACGCTGCAGCTCTTTAGTGCGCTCATCGACTACGTGATCGACCATGTCCATGCGATCCAAGTAACTGCTGGACGTGGTGAAGAGCTACTCCAAAGTGTATTATTCTGCCGTGTGCGCCCTTGAAGCAGCAGCAAGAACGTCAGGCTGTCTGAAAAATACGTCTGTCGGTTTTATATATCAAGTATAGACCATTGGAACATGATGCCCATCTGCCCATGGGGGACAAAATCCAGCAGCGGTTGGCGCATCGTCACAAACGGTGCCGTACAATTACGAGCCAGCCACAAAACTTTACGCAAGCTGGCCCGGAGCGCGTTACACCACCAAAGCTTTGCTCGATACACAGTACGAAAAATTCGATGCATAATAACCAAACCCACCATCCAAAAAGAGGGGCCCAGGCTTCAGAAACCTATCGGATAGCAACCCATTTGGATGTGAAGGGCAAGCCCGCTGCTACGCGATGTAACACACCTGGCCAGACAATTTGCAACTAAGTCTGAAATTCAAGCTGTTCCGTCCTACCTGAACACCCGTCGGTTTAGGCAAATCCCTTAAAAAGTCCCGCCTTTGAGGCTTTCAGCCATCACCTCACCGCCAGCACCATCTGCCGATGACCACATTCAGCAAACTCCGCACTTAGCCGGTCTCGATACACGCAATTCCCGCTACCATCCCTTTTGGAATGGAAACCGTTGAGCTTGCAACACCCCATGTCGTATGGGCAAGGTTACGTTGCCTTAGTGCACAAGGATGATGAACATTCGGTCTGCCCGACGTTGCGGGTTCGGGTCCCACAGCAACCGATGAAGCATCCCGACTGCAGGCGGTGAGCCCACTGCTTGCTGGCGGGGGCCCGCATAAGAGAAGTACTCATTCGGAGGGACGTGAGGGGCTAGCTGTACCGCTTATATGTAGGAGAGGTGTCAACGGCCCGAACGTGTAGCGGCGGAAGAGGTTCCCAGGGGTGGTAGGGAGGAGGAACGACAGGTAGGGAGGAGGAACGATGGACTTGGGCAAGAGAACCAACCCTCTGATGGTAGAGTGAGAGCAGCGAGAGGTAGAATCTGGGTCGGAAAAACGTATTTCCTGGAGTTTCAGAAGGTAAGGATCTGCGACTGTCCATGTCGTGTTTGTACACTGGACCACAGGCAGCACATTTTGTGTCGCTGTTATTGTCGTATTATAATGGTTAATGGGTTACTCAAATGTTACTCCCCAAGCAAGGAGCAGAAGTCCGGCAATTCAAAGATTTCGAAATATATGTAAGAGACCATCGCCCTGTTAGCTGGGTACCAGAAAGTGGAGAAAAAAGATAGATAGTTATCAAGATTAAAACGCTGAAATCAGGATAGTTGTGCTTCGACCAGCCGGGGTATGGAAGCTAAATGTCCCTAACACGTTTGGTAGGCGACATGTCTCCTCAAACTGGTTCGGAGACGAGAGCAGCACGCAACGTGAAGGCATCGTTGGCAAATGCAATAACAACAACAGCAGTGCGGTCAGCCGCACGCATCCGAATATGCGCCACCGACAAAACGCTAGCGGCAGCGGCAGATGGCCACTGCGCCGTCGACCATCTGCCTCGGAATGAAACTGCGGGCCGGAGTCATGTACGTTATTGCACGTTATGGCGCGGTTCGGTTCCCGGTTCAACGCACATTATCAACTGGCGAAGCAAATTGCTTGGACTTTCGATGTACGGTGTTGGTGCGGTACGAGCCCACATTCTCAGGGCAAAAAAGATTTCACAATCCTGTTGGTGGCGCTTTGCGACTATATCCTGTTTCCTTGTTATTTTTAGGCTGCCAGATCTGGCCCTGGCAGCTTTAGCGGTGTACCACTCCAACAGCATATCATGGCGTCATGCTCAGTTCATGCTACCCTTTAGTGGCTGTACATTATCGCTTGTGACCCCTGCGTACATCGCCAAGTACATCGCCAAGTCACTCTTCCAAGTCTCCCAAGTCTTCCAGATATGCTATGATATACTAAAAATGCCTTCGGCGCCGTACCATGCAAGTTTGCAAACCAAAAGACTGGCCGCCACGTTCCTTATCCAATATCACCTCAGTAGTTAACAGTGCAGTACCGAACTGCAAGTAAATAGCATAGTGGAAAGACTTAATATTCTTGCAAGAAAATATTTTACCTGTAAGACGCGCAAAAGCAAGCAACACTATCCTAAGTCCCATGTGGCCAAGGGCTCCCACTAGGCCGGGGGACAACCCTACCACGTTAGCGAAACACAACTTCCAGCAAGGCCTCCCACCCGCCACCACCGCCACCACCGCCACAGCAACCCGCCATCGCTCGCATCACTCGCGCCTGAGCAGCTACAGACGCCTCACCGCAGCCGCACAGGCCAGAAGTGCTGCAGCCGCAGTCCGCAAATTCTATCCGCCGCAACAGGCGGTGATGAATCCTATCGCCGCCGCCGCCGCTGCCGCCGCCGCCGCTGCCGCCGCCGCCGCTGCCGCCGCCGCTGCCGCCGCCGCCGCTGCCGCCGCCGCCGCCGCCGCCGCCGCCGCTGCCGCCGCTGCCGCCGCCGCCGCCGCCGCCGCCGCCGCCGCTGCCGCCGCTGCCGCCGCTGCCGCCGCCGCCGCTGCCGCCGCCGCCGCTGCCGCCGCCGCGTCGGTCATCGTCGTTGCCGTTGCAGCCGTCGCCGCCGTCCTCAGCGGCATTCCCCCTGCCGCCGCACTTCATCAGCCGGACCAGCAACGCTGCTGCGACTTCACCCGTTAGGTTGTGGAATCCATCTAGCTTGAAGGTACGAAGGTACGGCATGTACAGCAGCGCCGAGGCGACGGTCGGCAGTAGGGACTCTGGTCCAAATAAATCCCCAAGTTCAGCCGCAGGGCTCCGAAAACCGCATTCCGCACATGCCGTGCCTGAAAACTGAGCAGCAGCAGCCGCCGCCGCCGCCGCCGCCGCTGGGGCCCAAGCACGGTCACTGGGAATCCACGCCGTACAGTCCCCCTGCAATGTATGTATGGACGTATGGTCCTGCGCGGCGCCATCAGCGCCATTCCCGGGCGCCACGCGGCCTGTTCCCTCTTCCTCCTCCACCTCCTCCTCCTCCTCCTCTTCCGCGCCATCCACCTTTAGCACCAGTACCTCAGCTCCACACCGGGCCATTGCGCGAACCATCACTTCGACTTTGAATGAGGCGGCGGAAGCGGCGGCAACGCTGCCGCCGTCACCAGTACCCCACCCGACATCTGGTCCGCTGCCACGGCAGCGGCAGCGGCGATGATGGCAGCGGCCTCCGCCTCCGCCAGCCCCACTGCCGTTACGGACATCCCGAGCTCCTCCTACGTACGCATCCATTCTGGCCTCCACCTCAGCATGGTGCCGTACCCGACCCGCTTTAGGCTTTGGCCATAAGCCCCGCCTTGCCAATCCGATGGAGAGGACCCTCTCAGCACAGCCTTCGTGGTTAAGTTCCGAGCTCCCGTCGGCGCCACCGCAAGTCCTCCGAGTGGTCATCTGCGGTGGCGCCGACGAACACGGCGACGACCTGCCCACGGGCCAAAGCTGTGCCGCCGCCCTGATGGCAGCCGCAACGGAATACTCGTCCTGCAGCCACCCAATGTGCAGCCTCTGCAGGGACGACGATGAGGACGACAATGGCGGCAATGACGGCGATGGCGACGAGGACGGCGATAGTGACGAGGACGGCGATGGCGACGAGGACGGCGATAGTGACGATGACGATGACGGCGACGAGGATAGTGATGGCGACGATGACGATGACGGCGACGATGACGATGACGGCGACAATGACGGCGATGGCGACAATAACGGCGATGGCGACAATGACGGCGATAGCGACGATACCAGCGATGGCGACGAGGACGGTGATGGAGAAAGCCCTGGTTGCGGCGGCGGCAGGCTGGTCGCCACCAGCGCCGCCATGGCCGTACCCATGTTCCTGATCTCCTCTCTCAACGGCCAGGGGTCTCGGAGCTCCAATGCCGTCAGGTGGGGCAATGTGAGAACGCGGCGCCAGGTGGACTGCAGGGATGGAAGCTTGGACAGGGACAGGTGCCGCAGCGCCGGGAACATAAGGCCCAGGGGGGGACACAGCCGCGGCAACAAGACGCCCCACACGCAGAGACTCCTGACACAGACACAGCCGCTTCCGCTGGCTGCAATTCTGGTGCCGCTGGCGCAGCCGCCGTCAGCGCTGTCGATGGCGGCCGCGGCGATTGTGCCGGAGGTGGCTTCACTGCTCCAGGGGTGATCCGGGTCGCCGAGGTGCTCCAGGGAGAGGCGGCGAAGGCGGCAACACGCTGCCAGCGCTCGGGCATGAGACAGGGACAGACCGCGGGGCCCGGCTGGCTGCGGGCTGTGGTAGCAGACCGTCGCAGCAGTGGGAGGCTCGTTCTTGGAGCCACCAGGAGCTGGTGGTAGCAGCCGCCGTGCTACAGCCTTGAGAGCTCTGACGGCTGCAGCGGTGGGTGGTCGAAGGTCCAGGGTGGCGAGGTACGGCAGATAACGCATCACCTGTAGTATGAAGGGCGAAATTACGTACAGGTGGGCAGGTGGGCAGGTGGGCAGGTGGGGGCAGGTGGGCAGGTGGGCAGGTGGGCAGGCATGGCTTATTGCCTTAATGAAACCTGGGGGCTAGGGAAGCCCACTACTGCAACCAATCCATAACGCCCCTCAGCCGTTTTGGCCTTCAGTGGGCCCGACGAAACAACCAACGCTTACACATACACACACGTCTTGACGCGCACCTCCAGTGCAGCGGGCGGTGGCGGTACGGCAGCAGCAAGTCTCAAGTGACGAAGTTGTGGGGTTCGTGCCACTAACAGCTGTAACACGTCGGCTGTAGTTACGACCGGCTCGGCTGCCGTGCCCGGCATGATCCCGCTGCTGCCGGCGCTGCCAACGGTGTACAACACGGGCACCAACTCGAGGACCGTCAAGTTGGGCAGGTACGGCATTGCGGATAGCGCCATCTGTTGTTGCAACGGCGATGGTGGCGGGCATTGGCTGACATGCATTGAGCCGTACGGTAGCGGCTGGTGCAGCTGTGCCGGCGGCGGCGTCGACCTCGAGACTCTGGCATCCACCATTGCGGTTTGGGTGGCGAGGTCGGTTACGCCGCATCTGACGCAGCGGCTAGCAACGGCGATGGGAACGCGGCCGCCCGCGAGGCCCGGCGGCGTTGCGGGACCGACAAACGAAGCTACAGGCTGACCCGTGGTTCCATTGATGATCTGGGTCGTGCTAGTGCCAGGCTGGCTATTTAATCCCCCTAGGCTGCCCTCTCCGCCATTCCCCCCGCCCCGTACTTCCGGAAGACACCAATCCATGGGGAGCTCCCCTCGACGACCACTAGACAACCTGACGTTAACTGGTACATCCAGCGCCGGCAGCAGCTGGACTCCCGGGTGCCCCGCCGCCGGGTCACACGGCGACGGCTGTAGCTGCGGTGCTGCCGATGGCGGAGGACTCGGAGGCGGAAGCGGAACCAACGCCTGTGACAGGGGTGACTGTGATGGCTGCTTTAGCTGCGGCCGAGGTTGCTGAGGTGTCAGCGGCGGCGACGGCGGCGACATCTGCACGAGCAGCAGAGCTAGGCGGTCCAGGCAGGCGCCTAGATCGACTAACGCATGCAGCTGCTCCGGAACCTGTACGAGCAAGTACGGGAGCGGCAAGGAAGATAACAGCCGTCGGTTGGCGGCATCATCGTCGGTAACGGACTCCTCAGTGTAGACGCTGGCGCCTTCAGCCGCCTCTCCCTCCTTGTCGTGATGGTCTGCACTGCCGGAATGCCAGCTGCACATGTCCTCTGCCAAGTCCGAACTGCCGGTAGCCAGTAGCCCCTTGCAGTTCCCGATGGGAACACCTCGACCACCGGTGGCGTGACACCGGGAATGCCGGCCTGTGCCGGGGCGGCGTCCTCCGCTATTGCTACAACTATTGCTGCTGCTGCTGCTGCTGCTGCTGCGGCGGCTGCTACAGCCACCCATGCGGCTGCTCCTGCCGTCAAACACGATTCCCTCCCCAAGGAGGCTGAACCGCAGTCGGGGTCGGCCGTAGTGCAGGAACCGCAGCCAGGAATACGGCAGAGCCAAGGAGGCCGACTGTGGTGGCGGAAGCAGCAACGGCGGCGGCGGCGGCGGCGGCCATCCCACCGGTAACACTCCGGGCTCCAGAGCCACGTGTAACGTGCTTTGCCGGCTACTGCTACGTCCTCGCAGATCGCGGTACCGAAAAGCGAGATCTGGAAGCTGTGGCGGCAGCGCCACGCCGGCGCCATTGCTACCATCGCCCACAGCGTTACCATCACCAGCAGGACAGCAATCCCCTTGCAGCGCATCTGCCAGATGTGCCCAAGCTATTGTCAGCTGAGGTGGTGCTGCCGCCTTTGCCTTCGCCGCCGGCGTCCCGCCTTCACTTTCGCCTTCACTGCCGCCGCCTTCGCCGCCTTCGCCGCCGCCGCCCACTTCAACCTTTGCCGCGGCGGCAACACCGGAGGCGATGCCGCGATCAGGACCAGCGCAATAACCTCGGCCACACCTGCTGTTGCTGCCATTGTTGCTACCATCTCCACCGCTGCTGCCACTGCCGTACTGCCCCCCAAGGTCACCCCGTAACGGTTGCACGCTGCGCAGCAGCAGCAGCCGTAGCCCGCCCAGCCGGGTGACCCCCCGCGCCAGGGAGGACACAGCGTCCGCATCGGGCACCCCACCAGGCTGGGTGATGAAGACGACTTCCAGGACCCGCAGGTTGCTGCCGGGACCGCCGGCGGCGTGCAGTATTGTGGTTAGGGGCTGCGGGCCGAGCTGAAGGGATAGGCGGGTTGTGCAGCAGCGCAGGATGGTGTCGCGCAGTTCGCGACAGCAGGCGGCCAGGTTACCCCGCGAGGCTCGCGGAAGAAGGCCGCAGAGAAAGATGAGAAGGTCCGGAGGCAGGTGCGATAGGTGCGTGGGATGTGGCTGAGGCATGGAAGGCGAACGACGCTGCCTTTTCACTTTTCCTGGGCCTGATGTGGACAGCCCTGGAGAATATAATCTACAGCCCCAGGAGACGTGCGTGCAAATTTTCTTGGGTGTTGTTACAGATTTTTTTCACAATTGCCGGGCGAAACCTTGTTTTCGTGTTAGTGATGTAAAACCTTTCGTGTCGTCCGAGGCGCGAAGTACGGTAGATCGTCAGAAATCGCTTCGGGTCCATCCTAGAGCTATCAATATCACAAGGTATGAGCTAAATTCGGATGAATGATGTACGTGTTGGAAAGCAACATAGAGGTCGTGCGCGCGCGTCATCACACATTTTGTTACAGGGGATCGGCATCTTTCCAGATCGTCAAGACTACCTGAATCTATGTTCCACGACAATGAACGCCTTACTCTGAAAACTGTCACCCTGGAAACGTTCCTGATCTAAGCTGCGTATACCATTTCTAACACCCAACGAAGAGTCCACCACACAGGATCGTGTCGTAGCTGCGGTGTGGCCATATATGCCTGGCAACACGTCTCCATCCCGACAGCTCCGGCACCTAAACTTAGGAGCACAAAATAAAGGGCAAATCACTGTTTCGTTTACCTACCTATCATAAGCAGGGCGGAAAGCTTCCCTGGAGCAATACATGTGTAAGTGTACACTTACATCGGTTTTTTTTGTTGTTATCGACTTCGGACGGCCTGCGGCTGGCCCATACTCCCCCGACTCGTATGGACCCGGTTTACCTAACGGTTTACCTAACGGTTTACCTAACGGAACTCAAGGGTAACACCAACACACACAAGCATGGACGTTTCCATCAGCCTGCTACGCGACATGGCACATGCCTGAAAGCATACCCTAAAGTACCACATAAGTGGCAATAACAACTTCCTTGACGAGAATGCGCACACACGCGTTGTGCAGCAGCAGCAACTGCACACACATAATTTCGTCGACGTGAACGCATGCATACAAGTCTCGTTGTGCAGCAGCAGCAACTGCACACACATAATAACGCAAACAGCAATATGAACACCAAGCCAGCCACTTCATTCACGCACCCACTTAGTGATATACTCTGAAAGAGCCAGCCATGCAGCCCCACACACAGCTACCGGCACAGCCAATCAGTGTCACTCATCAAACACATCTCGTAAAAAGTTTAAGAAGTCTTGGTCAGGGTCCATGTCACCGAGAGCCACAGCTTCTGGTTGTGGCACCACCGCCGCGACTTCCATCTCTGTGGGTTGCTGTGGTGGCAGCGTCACCAAGGCTGGCAGCGGTACTGAGGTTGGGCCGGTGCAGGGGCTCCACGACGCGGCCACCAGCAGGTCAGCAAGCGACACCACAACGGGTTGCAAACCTGGTGCCTGTAGAACCGCCACCGCGGTGGTGACTGGCACACTCCCAGCAGCCAGCGGAAGTCCCTGCAGCGGCTGGACCGGTGGCAAGACGTCCTGCAGCCCCTGCACCTCCAACAACGGAGACGACTGGAAGAGGAGGGGGTGGCGAGTGGCGGTTGGGGGACGGGGAAATTTAAGAAACAGCAGCAGTTCAGATATGGTGTGGTTGGTAAGGGTCGAGATGAGGAACGAAACATGCATGTGTATTAATTAAGGGCTTTATGTAGCCACAAACTCAGGACAACATCGTTTCCTACCCATGCATTAATCATGTGATACATATCCGCAACCCACTGTTGCGAGTATTATTGAAAGGGAAAGGGTGGAGAGCCGGGGAATGGATACTAACCCACCGAGTGAGCCACCAACCCACTACTGGCTCACGCTTCACCGCTCACCAGGTAGGCCGTGGCAAGCAGATTGCTGATCCTCCTTATCACATTGTCTCCTCCAAAGTCTCCGAACTGGCCTTTCTCGTTGAAGCTGCGACTTAGGCACTGAAGCATAGGGCCCACCTCCTCCCTGTCCAGCTGGGATAGGGACCCCAAATCCGCGCTGTAGTCCTCCCGCGGAAACTGCGTCAAGATGCGCCGACATGCAGCTGTTTAATTTCGGAACCATGTTTATAAAAACTACCGTACTGCACAGAGTATCATCGCGGCACAGCGTGTGAATGAAGGGGTGCGGAAGGCAGGAAGGTAAGTACATGCCTGTATACCGTACATATACATCAATCTGTCAGTTGGGAACATCGACTTTCCCCGCCGGACCAAGCACATATAACATACACACACACACATATGCTTGATGGGTAGCCATTCGCGTCATCTTAGATCGCATGATGCATGTCATGTAGCTAATTACATAAAGACATCTATCCTATATTATATATTCACAAACCATGCGATAAAGTAACCTAATGACTCACATTAATAGTGGTATCTAGACCCCAGAATACGATTGCGGCGATATCGAACGCCCGGGCCGCCATCCGCTCGGTCTTGTATGCTCCCAGGTAGTACTGCTTTCCCCTGTTCCTCTTTCCTGGATGGTCCTTCTTGCGAGGCACTGTTGGGTCCCACAGGTGAGCCTCCCATTTCTTTGTGTTCTTGTGCCTGCAAGGTTAGGGATTGGGGCGGTTTCGGCGAGGCCAGGAGGGGACTGGGTGCATGAAATGCCGCAACACTAGGTGGTGAGCCGCGCGTGGCCCTACAAATACGCGCATGTAATTATGCCTCGCTTCATGAGGGATGACGTCAGAGTGGTGGCCGGATGGCAGGATTGGGATGATGGGAAGTTGGACATGGCTGCTGGGATACATACGTAGTTAGCTAACTAGATGGAATGGAGTGGTAAGGGATGGAGGATGTGTATCACCTACCAGCTAACGCCCTTGAACTGAGAGCTCTTATTTATTGAACCACTGTCCGTTCTACGTGTCTGGCTGTTGGCGGTGTTCTCCATCGTCGTCGCATTGACGGGGTCATCGCCTTCAAGGCCGCCGCCATGGCCGTGGTCGAGATGGTTGCTACCGACATTACCAGAAGAGCGGTTGCCGGCCCTGGTGGTAGTGGACGCCTTTCCCCGCCTCTTGTTAGTGGAGCTACCGCCGCGGCGGCGATGGCAACTGCGTTTGGTGGCTGTACCGCGCACTGGGGGTGCTTTCCGACTTGAGGTCGGCACTGCTACTGCTGGCAGCGGACGCGCAGGGGGAGTGGTGTCATTGGGCGGGGGGACAGAAGGGTCAAGACAGAGGCTCTGGATGAACCCATTCGACGGCACAGGCTCCATCCGCAGGCGATTGATTTACGATATTGCCTAGAGCACAAGTGTTGCGAGTAGTGTTATTCCTGGAAATGATACGGAAAGATAGTAGATCTACTCGTAATCCATGTAGCTTGGGGAACACACTCTTATGCCTTATTGATGACTGGTCACCAATAAGCTTTTATGAGCATGAGTTCCCCTCACGTAGATACGACCATGGGATGGGGAGACAAGGAAAGGGTCTTATCGCTCGGTCCTATGCTTGGTTGGTGGCAGAAATCTTGTACTGTTCGATGAAGTATTTAACTTGCCTAGCTAGGCAGCCCAGGCATTCCTAGGCACACCTAAACAGGCATCCCTCGAGGGCGACATACCCCGAGGTGATCAAGGCGCGGCGAGGTACCCCGAGGCGCGGCATCGGTTGATGCTATGCAGTTCTCCGTCGCTTCCCCCTCGGACATAGATAAAGTTCCCCCCAAGTATTTGCCAAGGCCACGCGAAAGTCCCCATACACGCACAATCTTCTGCCTCGGGCTAGAAGGTTTACGATTGCCTCTCCCTTTTTTTAATTTATGCGGAAACTAGATAATTATTCTGTGACTATAATTTACAACAAAAAGTAGTCATTTAGACGGCACATTACGCCAACCCTGCTTGCCGAGGCTTCTAGGATCTAGCTCGTCTATCTGCCGGAGTATCGAACGGTAGGTCCTATTAGTGGTGACATTACTATTTTTGACGATGAGATGGGACGGAGCTTAGTGCGCGCACACTACCGCTTTTTTCACTTAACATTATACATGCTTTTTTAAGGTATTGTCACTGCTTTTACTCACCGTCCAAACCACATGCGCCCCTGTGTCAGAGGGTTGACGACACCAACGCATTGCTGAACGAATCTATGATGATTGCACTTAGACGTCATGATTGAGTCCGTGGAGCGACCACGGAGAACTGCGCATTTTACAGAACAACGTTTAACCTAGAGTGCGAGGTCCGCATTCAGCCGCCAGGAAATATGACGTGACACCACTGCAACCGACTCTGGCAGGATGTACACTGGCTAGTAACATATGTACAGCCTCAACACTTTCAAAACGCCTCAGCTTCTCGAGCTACAACTCACCTACTCGCACGCATACTTCTCATGCTAGCTATGCAATAAAACACCACTGTTAAATGCGGTTTGGTATTGTGGTGTTTCAGTATCATGAAAATCCCAGACTTCTCAGGCATGTGAGCCGTGTTCACCGTATGCCTTACACGAGCTCGTCATAACCTGACGCAGCTTCACCGGTGCCCGAACAAAGACATAGAACGGTAGTTGGCTCCGCAACAATGCTAGTATTACTGCGTACCGACGGCATATTTATTTTTTTTGTCGAAGGGGAGCGGAGTCAACGGCCACATCCCACTCTCCTAACTAACACGCTACTGCCAACCCCTACAAATCTCCCGTCACGTGCATCAGCTACTATTTACCGTACCCCACCGCAAACTACCCAGCCAACCTACGTGCACCTCAAGAACAGGCCACTCTTCCATTCGCCTCCGTTGTTGGAGGTGCAGAGGCTGCGGGACGTCTTACCATCGGTCCAGCCGCTGCAGGGACTCCCGCTAGGGGCCCGTGTGCCGGTCACCACCGCGTTGGTGGTTCTACAGGTGCCAGCAGACTTGCAATATCGTTGTGGCGTCCCTTACGTCATGCTGGTGGCCGCGTCGTGGAGCCCGTGCGCTGGCCCAGCCGTAATGCCGCTGCCAGCCTTGGAGGCTGCGCTACCACAGCAGCCCACAGAGGCGGCAGTCGCGGCGGTGGTGCCACAGCCAGCAGCTGCGGCACTTGATGACATTACTCCTGACCAAAATTTCATTCAGCGTTCGTTGCGCGAGGTATTGGATGGGTCCGTGTGGGACTAGAACGCATG